AAATAGGGGTAAGTGTACCTATCTCCGTGGCACGTACTGAAAATTCCAACTTAAATGCACCATAAAAAATGGTAAACCAAAATTTTTTGGAATATTTTTTTTTTAAATCTTACATAATCTCTTACGGAATATTTAAAAAAATTTTATGAAGCTAAAACTGCAGTAGAATATTTTTAAAACGAATAAAAACGGTATGCTGGTACTATCGTGGTTGTGTACCTATTACCGTGTACGTAATACCGCAGATGTCCCAATCACCGTGTCCGTATTACCGTGGGTGAAGAAAGTTGTATTTGCGGAATATAAAAAAAAATGAAAATTTTACCTACATTTTCTACATGACTTATTTATTGTTTTAAAAAAATATTACTTTTTTTTGTACTTGCTTATTTATTGAGTAGGAATCTTATACATTTTTGAGCACTCAGCAATAGATTTTCCAGAATAGATACTTTTCAAAGCTAATTTTAGTGTCTCGGGAGAGTAACACTTTTTGTTTTTCTTTATTTCGATCGATTTCTTGCCTTTTTTGCCTTTCTTGCCTTTTATAGTTTTCTTCATCTTGGTTACGTTAGATCGACGTGCTTACCTACTAATTGCTTACGTGTTAACTGTCGTGCGTTCTGTAAGTATAGGGTTATGTTTACGTACGCTCAGCGCGGAAATATGTACACAATCAGTTAATGAGCGCGTTGTACCGAATACCGTGGAAAATAATTATTTACTCAAAATATACACAAATACTTCTATTTGAATAGCATCTACATTAACGTCATTTTAGATTATTAAAATTAAAAAATTATTTTATATGAAACATTTCTTATTTTGAGCAAGTAATCATCAGTTTTTCAAAATCGACGGTAATAGGTCAGAGCACGGAGATAGGTACACTTACCCCTAGTAGGTTTAAGTGAAGTAATAAGTTTTCTTTGGCGTCCTCACATATCAAGAAGATTAAAAAAACAAAAACAATAATTGTGACTGTGTCAACACAACAGTACAATTATTTTTGTCAAGCAACAATTAACTTTATTATGAAACTTTAATAAGTCACTTTAACAGACTGATTAACAAAATACTAATAATTAATTTCTTATTCTTACAATAGCTTTTTATTGTGTAACGCTGTATCAATGTTTTCTTATGGATACTTTTAAATCAACATGCTTGCTTTTTTGTCCACGCCAATCGCATGATTTTTGGTTGGATAAATTTTTTTCTACCTTTTGTTGCCATTAATGTTTTATAACAATAAATTATGAGTTTTCAAAGATGTCCATTTTGTGGAAGACTTGATGACAAAAAGATTGACAATTGTGAACTTACTCTACGAGTAATGGAATCGGAGATAAAAGCAAAGAAACTAAATTAAAAGTAGACTACTAACCATACATTTTGGATTAAACAAATTAAACTGACTTCTAATTTAAACAAAACTATTTTTCTTATATTCCTAGGGTTATTTTGTATGGCTATGACTTATTTTTCTCGCTACTGAAAAACAAGATCACATCGTATTTTTTGCTTTTGGAAGTAATGAGCTAACTAGTTACTTCTACAGCCAGTGAAATCTATGCAATAGCACGGGGTGTGCAAATTGGGAAGAGACTTACACGTTACATGACAAGCCAACAGGGACGTAGCTACAGTTAGGCCTCATTGGGCCACGGCCCATGCAATAAAATTTCTGGCCCACGCGCTGGCCCATCCCGAATATCAACTCAATCAAAAGCATCCCAAAATAAAATTCTTAAACATAATATGTAACAGAAAAAGACGAATAAGATTTTAACATAGTTGTAAAAATTGTAAACGCTGTCAATGCAACGCTGTTAATGTGTAAGTAGTGCTGACTGAACGCAGCATGAAGGGGTAAGAAGCTACTGGGTGAGTACAACCATAGGAGGTCAAACAAAAGAGAGCCATCTGTTCCTTGAAGGAAAAAGTTTTATCCCAAAAAAAAAAAATAAAAAAATGTTACTCAAGGTTAAAATCCAAAAAAAACTACAGAACAAACTTGTTTTATATAGCAAATTATGTTTATAACTCCATCATTATGTACAACTTATTTTAATTCAATAGCCAGCCGTAACCCGTGTTTTCTTGCACGATGTCGCGCAGAAATTTTGTTACGGGTACATGGAATACTTACAATTTTATACAACTTTAAGCATAACTACGTGATATGAATCATTAAATAAAATAAATGACTTCTGATTTGATAGCCGATCTTCACTTCTATTCGTTACAAACGTTACAGCTGTTACGGTATCACAGTGCCTTCTTCAGACGTATGCACGACAAGACTAAGTAATGTACCACGTTTATATAATAACATTACACACAGGCGTACATATGTTTCGGTTTAACAACAACGGACAATACATAAGAATCGTACATAGTCTATACGCATATCTTTCTTGAATTCTAAATTTAGTAATAAAACTCTATGGTAAATTATTTTAATTCTTACTAAAGTGAATGCTCCAGTACTTACTCACTTAAGCAGACAAAATGTTCTAATAGTCAGTCACTTTTCTCTTTTACAGCCCCTCATTCTATTTTGAGTTGGGTATTTAAATTTATTTATAATAAAATAGTAGCTGATTTTTGTATAAATAACTACCTTATTTAACTATGTTTTGAGAAATTATACTGAAAAAATTAGCCAAGTGAGTGACTGTTGGGACATGACCAAGTACTGGAATATTAAACTTATTCAGATGTATGTTCAAAAGCTTAATAAATAAGTTATTGAACACTCAGTAATTATTTTTTTTTCGCACTTCTGCTCTCGCTAAAACGTAGATATTCCCTATCGATGCATTTTCTTAGCAATCATAACCTCACACTATGGTATCACATTAATACATCTGAAAACAAACTATTTGTAAAGACTTAAGATGAAGATGTGGAAGTGGAATAAAAGCTTCATACGAAATTTCCTATAATTTTGCAGTTTTAAGCATTAACTCATTAATTTCCAGTTTTCGATGTACTGCAAGCGGCACCTCACACTCTCCATGATTAAGTTTTAAGAACCAATAGAGTATCTGATAAAAATAAAAAATAAATGTTTAATGTGTTTAGTTTTCTGTTAAATTAAAAAAATATTATACATACAATTATCTCTCCTTGTTACACAAATAAGTGTTTTTTATTGTTATTTTATTTATGAAATTAATTTTTTTTGTTAATTGCTTGGTCCATTGCAATTATTAAGTGGCCTTAAAATATTAAAAAAATAAATGTTATTTGATAACATGCTTGTTGGTTATAAGAAAAGTTAGCTTCTCCCACTTTTTAAGCTTTCTGGATAGAAATAATATAGTACAGAGAAAGAAAGTTCTTATTGTAACATAAAAACTGGTGTAAGTTTTTTTCATTTAAAATTTGTCTATCACAACTTTATTTTTAACTAATGAGTTACCAATGGTAAGTAAACAATGAATGGATTTTGACCCAATTTTCATTGTATATAAAAAACTCTCACTGTCGTTATTAGCCCTATACGCCTCACCCTAGACATTTTTATAGTTATAGCAATGAAAACGTAATTATCAAATTTACAAATAAGTTACTATTTCTAACTCTCAACGTCTCTTTAGGGTAGAGATAACTTAGTATTGCCCTTAGCTCTTCTGGGTGCTATATCTGTTATCGGAGGTATATCAGGTTTAAGATTACCTGAAACTTTGCATCAACGTCTACCACAAACAATTGAGGAGGGAGAATTATTTGGAATTGACTGGACATGGAAAGATTGTTGTCAAATTCAATATTCAAGGTACCGTAAATAGTACTCAATTTATGTTACAATTGCAATCGTATCGAAGAAATATTAAAACTGACGAACAAATGGGAAGGAGGCTAAGTCAGATACACATATACGTATACATTTTAACAAACAAAAACTTTAATATGTAGAAACGTAAGGAAATTTTGTTAATATATGGATTGTATTCATCTTTGATTCTTGCATCAACCTGCAATGTATCAACGTAAGATATGTAATCATCAATTATTTAAAAGAACATTTCATCTTATAGACTACCCCTTTATTTTTTCCTCGAAGTGCCGTGCTATTTACTTGACAGTTTCAGTAATACACTTTTACCACAATAAAATCTACTTTTTTTAGTTCAGGAGTAGAACTATCCCAAACTCTTTTGACATCCTGACAATTTACTTTATAGCGAAAGTTATCTCACCTAATGGCGCACGTCACCATACTTATACTTTCTATTACCTAAAGTGGTAAACCATTTTTGATATATAAGTAGGCACGCTTTGCACTACGGGGTAAATAAACGGTGTTAGATTGGAGACCTTCGGAAAATTAGTAATGGAAGTGAATTTGTCATTTTATCTTTTCCCTTAGCTTGTCCCACTAGTTCTCTGTAAGGTAAAATAGGGTATAGTGGGACACTTTTTTAAGTAAAAAATATTTATTTCTTACTTTCGAAGTTCCACCAATGCTAATTTACCTAAATTTTTTTTTTAATTCAAAATATAGGTCTTAACTTAAGAAAACAATAATTATTGACTGAGCGCGTTGTACCAAATACCGTGGTAAATAATTATTTACTCAAAATATACACAAATACTTCTGTTTTAATTGCATCTACATTAACGTCATTTTAGATTATTAAAATTGAAAAATTATTTTATATGAAACATTTCTTATTTTGAGCAAGTAATCATCAGTTTTTCAAAATCCACGGTAATAGGGCAGAGCACGGAGATAGGTACACTTACCCCTATTATATAAGCAGCAAAATGTAGAAACTATACTGGGACAGAATATATCACAGAGTAAAATCAGGGTTTGTCGTGTGTACAATACAAACAAAGAAAAACTAATCTTTTACGTATAGATACTCTTCAGGTATTAACATTTTGGCATTAGCTTACCTTTTTTTCATCAGTGAACGAGTTCGAAATAGAAGTTTGAAAGACTAAGCTTTTTTATTATGCTTGATATGATTAAAAAAAAATACCCATATTTGGAAAAATATATTTGTGAATATATTTTTCTAATATTGAATCTACGAACGGTAATACATGA